TATGTACACAAAGCACCGCTAATTAGTTCGAGGCGCTACACATCGACATTACTATCATTTACACAGTGAACATGTGTGGGTAATTTCATATTAATAGATATGTATAGAAACATTCGTTCTATCACACACATCTTGGTATTACATATCATTTTTGTGTCGGTATACGTAATATTTTAGTAAATAAGTTTAAATAAAAACGAGGGTAAAGATAAAAATACTCATAACAAACTTTGAATAAATCGAAATCAAAAATAATGAACGATCGAGCAATACAATACTTATATAAATATAGTGCATTCTCATTGTATTTTTATGTTACTGAATGATATACAATATTTCGATGTTCTCATCTACGGCGCGCTTGGCGCAATGGTTATCGCCTCCAGTGGTCAAGTAAAGTGCCACCGGATCGATTCCAGCATTCACATGTTGTTTTAGTATTAATTAATCAAATATTTGAAATGTGAAATTAGAAACAATTAAATCTTTTCTTTTTTTCCTATCCTATTTTTCTAAATCTTATGTTAATTTTAATAGTAAATACTTTAGATTTATTTATACCTATAATATCCTTTATTTATATTTTAGTTCTAGTTATTTATTATTTAGAATAATTTAGAATGATTGGAAGAACTTTAAAGTTAACATGTGGTATATAATTAATTATTAGATATAAATATTGAATATAAAACCACATATTTGTATAATTAATAAATTAATTTTAATAAAAAATAGTATTGTTTTATTTACCGACTGATTTGCTTCTTTTATAGCCTGATATTTATATTATATGACAAAAAACAAAAAAAAAATAAATAAGAAAAACAACAAGGTAAAATAAAAAAAAACTTTTAGCTGGAATAGAACCCACATCATCATTGATCCTTGAAAGACGATAAAAGCGTACTCATTAACCAATCGACCACGAGCACTACGATAATTACAGTGAAAATGTCGGGTCATATCAATGATTGTAAATAGTTTTAACCTTACCCATGCATTAAATTATAAAAATACGTATACCGACACAAGAATGAAAATACCAATGTGAACGTGGTGGACGAATATTTTTATACACAGTAATATGAAATTACCCACACATGTACATTGTGTAAATGACAGTAGTGTCGATGTGAGCGTTACGAACTAATTAGCGGTGCTTTGTGTACATACTTTCTTATCAAGGTTTAATGACCAACTACTAATCATTGGAATGAAATTTCACATTGGACATAGGTAAAGACTAAAGAGTAATTAAAAAAATTTATGAGTCTATTAGACATGGTTAACACATTCATTTCATTGTAAACGAGTACTGGCATACTTCATACTGTCATATTTCAAAGTTTCATCTATTTTAATCTTGTTTTGTAAATTGAGTATTTGGATTAGATGAAAGTACAAGTACACACTGTGTCTCAGAGTCATTATTTCTTTTCCTGCCACAGGCCCACAGGAATGTCGCGGAGAACCTAACGGGTTACCAGGGCTGCGGCTCGAAATGCAGGAGTAGGAACAGGGTGGTTTTTAGTCAGTAAGAGCCTGACACTCCCTCCCGCCTCACCCAGGCGGGAGCAGTCATTCGATGATTCCCCCCCCTTAAAAAAAAGGCCCACAGGAAGAAATTCCAATTGGAATATGTGGGGCCTATGTACTCTGTTTTGATATATATATTGTCCTCTGCGTTGTATGTGTGTACATAAATAATAAATAAATAAATAAAGTAAGTTTATATTCAAATTCAAGCACTTATGTGAGTAAACCAAAAGATTAATAAAGAAAGTTTGTTATAAACTATATTCAAAGGTCTTTTGTTTATAGTTTAACAGCAAGTTAAACTAAATAGAGTTTTGCGAGAATGTTATATGATACCCTGGTAGTCATGTACCTACTACACCTTTGTTCAGCAAATAAAGTGATATAATTTGATATTTAACTCGTTGAGTGTCGAGTACCGTCATTATAGACACAATTATAGAACAATAGGTTGCGGTCACCGGTGACCGCTTGGTGTTTGACAGTTTAAAACAACAAATGCATGAATTCTACCTCTAAATAATGTACTAAACAAGCTAATTACTTTAGTATTTTAGTACATACCTAACAAAAAAATATTAACTATGATAACTTTTTAAACACTCTGAAAATATTACTTTTAATTGTAAATATTTTTATAGTATCAAAACTAATATGTATTTAACAAAGAGGTTGGATAACTGGCTGTAAGTGTGGACATAGAGTAAGCAATATGTTTAGATAAGCATACACTCGATCCAGATGCCCTCTTTGTCATCACTAGTAAAATATTAAGTACATAACATAAAGTCCAGATTACAACGACAAATAATCTGTCGTGACGTAAAATTATCAACAAAAGAAATTTTCTTCAATATTTTAAAGATTTTCATTCAACATTGAGAGAAAAACGTGCTAGTCATGACTTTCGTTTTCCAAATATAAACCAAATATTATTAGTATGTGTCTAAAAATATACCAATCAGAACAAACAAGCCTAAATTAAAAGGTCATTCACCTGCGACATAAGTTGGATGTTTAATTACACTTATATACGTATTAAACACTCTTAGCAACAACATGATTTAATTATATAACACTAAAACATGACAATATACAACACAAACAAGGTTTTTGAGCATCAAAAACTACACGAACAGATAAGCGCTAACTTTTAAAAATTGCTTACCGTTTTCCGCGTTCACAGTTTTCTTGAAGTCTTTTACCGTTCTAGGCACATTGGTTAGTAACTAAATTGTATAAAAGTCTGTTTATAATTAAATTACAATTAGTTTATTGTTTACTTTCGATAAAAAGAAAGTGATAGAGCTTTCTTGTACTCCAACTTGCCAAATCATTGAATAATTTCGTTCCGTAACTTTTGTGAAACGTCACAAAGTTAATGGAATAAAAAATATTATTCGTTATTTAATTTGCGCAGATAGAAATAATTGATATTTTAGTATTCCAATATCCAATTCAAATAATTTATAATAATACCAAATTTTTCATAAAAAATCAATTCAAATTTATTTCGTTTTCAGACGAAACTCGACTCCATTCGACGCAGAATTTACGGCAACGTATTTTTTTATATTATAATATACTAAATTAACGTAATAATAAAAATATAATATACTAACGTTATTTTTCATGAAATTATTAATACCTACAATTGATATTGCATTGCAACTATAAACTGTAATATTTGTTATTTGTCACCTTATTCGGTCCGTCGCGTTGGTGTTAGTTTGAGTTTTGAGCGCCAAAGTTTAAATGAACTGAAAAAAATATGTGGATTTTGGACCTCTTATTATGGTAAGTAATTATTATTCGTATTTAGGTATCTAAAAATCGGATGGATTGATTACGTATTAAACTATTTATGTAGTAAAACTAATATTGTTAAAGCCATGCTGAAACTGTAGTTTAACGTTTTCGACTTCAGAGTTTAACATCCTACTCAGTTGCTAAGCTATTTAAAAGTAATTAGGTAGTGGCAATGGTGCGGTACAAAATCCATCCGGTACCTATATTAGTTATCCCAATACTATCAAAGTAGGTGCCTACTCCTACTATTTTTGTGATTAGAAGACAAATGACCAGGCAGATCGCTTAATAGTAAGCGATTAGTACACCCGCAATGTCAGAAACTCGTGTGCGTTACCCAGGCAAAATGTTTTGCTTTAGAGAGATGAGACTTAAACAAATAATTAGTGTATCATGAGGAGCAATTTGTTTACTAATAGCAAAATTTGTTTGAATTGTAGTTTTTAAGTTATTTGAGAAAAACAAATTTTGCTGGAGTAACGTTTGAAACGTTACCCAGGCAAAATAGTCTTTAAAAAATTAGTTTCAGCACGGAACCAAATACATGAATAGATAGCTTTTGTTGCGTAGTAAATGTTTATAAATAGCAAAATTTGTGTGTGGTATAGTTCTTTAGTTATTTAAGATTTTGCTGCGGTAACGTTTTGGGATTTCCCAGATCTCGAAAACGGCTCAACGCAGAAGTTTGAAAAAAATACCAATAAAAGACCTCAATTTGTTTAAATTTGTTTAATCATTAGTTTTTGATTTGGTTGACGTAAACCAATGTAATTAAATGGTTTCAAAAATCAGAAGAAACGGGTTTGCAAGTAAACCAATACACTTATAACCAAATAAACAGCTGTAAAAAATACCCGTGGTTCGACGCTTGTTTACATCAGAAATATTAGATTTCATACTTTACACATTAAGAAGATAAAAACAAATTTGATTTATTTTAGACTGGTCGTACTTTAGCGATCGAATACGCAGTTCCCATAACATTAAGAAACATGGCATACTTTAAACAAATTAAAATGATTCCTGAAAATTCCTTCCTGTTAATTGCAGCTTTGAATTACGGCTCTAATGAAAGTTATCTCAAAAACAAGATTATGTCAGCAATTCTCTAATGAGCCGACCAAATTGAAAAGGTCACATAAAAGCGACCGCACCATACATAAGCGCAACCATCTGAAATGAACAGGATAATATAGATGTTTTGTTAGTACAGTTGAATACAAAAGTTTTCTGGTCAGGTTAGTTAAAATAATAAAATGGTTAAGATTCATTATTTTTATTTAAAAAATCAGTCTCATACAAATTATATGTATTGCTTTGCCTTAGCATCAACATTTTTAGAGAAAAATCACAGATAAGTTATAACCTACTTACTTAATTTTAATATTTGGATACATTAATAGTTTGTACAATTTTCCTTAGGAGGTACTAATAACGTAGGTTGATAGGTGGACTCCATTTCACCTCGACTCACAGTATGGCATTTTAATTGGCATTAACTAGTAAAAATTGTGTAATATGGTACTGCACTTAAAAAATATTAAAAAATCGGCTTCACGAATAACGTTTTTCTGCTTAACTGTACAAAACATCGGTTACCAAGCTGCTAATTTGCGAAGATTACCCGTACGTACGGTGCAGTCGCTTTTACGTGACCTTTTCAATTTGGTCGGCTTATTAGAGAATTGCTGACATATTCTTGTTTTTGAGATAACTTTCATTAGAGCCGTAATTCAAAGCTGAAATTAACAGGAAGGAATTTTCATGAATCATTTTAATTTGTTTAAAGTATGCCATGTTTCTTAATGTTATGGGAACTGCGTATTTGATCGCTAAAGTACGACCAGTCTAAAATAAATCAAATTTGTTTTTATCTTCTTAACGTGTAAAGTATGAAATCTAAAATGTCTGCTGTAAACAAGCGTCGAACCACGGGTATTTTTTACAGCTGTTTATTTGGTTATAAGTGTATTGGTTTACTTGCAAACCCGTTTCTTCTGATTTTTGAAACCATTTAATTACATTGGTTTACGTCAACCAAATCAAAAACTAATGATTAAACAAATTTAAACAAATTGAGGTCTTTTATTGGTATTTTTTTCAAACTTCTGCGTTGAGCCGTTTTCGAGATCTGGGAAATCCCAAAACGTTACCGCAGCAAAATCTTAAATAACTAAAGAACTATACCACACACAAATTTTGCTATTTATAAACATTTACTACGCAACAAAAGCTATCTATTCATGTATTTGGTTCCGTGCTGAAACTAATTTTTGAAAGACTATTTTGCCTGGGTAACGTTTCAAACGTTACTCCAGCAAAATTTGTTTTTCTCAAATAACTTAAAAACTACAATTCAAACAAATTTTGCTATTAGTAAACAAATTGCTCCTCATGATACACTAATTATTTGTTTAAGTCTCATCTCTCTAAAGCAAAACATTTTGCCTGGGTAACGCACACCAGAAACTCAGAATATTTATAAGTGCGTGGCCGGCCTTTTAGCAAAACGAATTTGTCTCTCTTGGCTACTTAACTGAACATTTCATTAACCCAAATACGTTGAAAAAATGGCGGACGTAATGTAATGCACGTAATGCCACTTAAAAATGATTGAGGCACCAAAATGTCAGTGGTGTATCTAAGTGTGCATGTACTTGCAACGCCGTAATGTATGAAGTGTATTGATGCCCGTTATTACACTTCATACATTACGATGTCAATGTGTGTACACACACACACACACATACACACTGTGTACATGTCACGCAACAGATGTCCTTCGTGTTAGTGTGTGCGTATTCTGCGTCTTACGTTCAATTTTTATAACCTATCTATCTTTAGATTTGCTTACTAGAGATATAATTTCGACATGAGCTCCATACAAAATGTGTCAAAATTCTATCTCTAGTAAGCAAATCTAGAGATAGATAAGTTATTGAAACTGGACGTTAGTCTATAGTAGCCAGGTGTCGCAGTCGTTGTTTCAAGTAAGTGTGTCAGCCTTTTTCAACGTCATTGCAATTTGCAATAAACTACGTATCTCAATCCAACACTTATTTACTAAAAAAAACACCCTGTTCTATTGCTTCGCACCGGGGCCGGGGCCCTGGTAACCCGCAAGGTCGTTTACAGCAATTACAGCCCCGTGATTTCAAGTATCAAAAATCGTAGTAGGTTATTGAAATTGCCAGTTATAAGGTGTGGTGATTCGAAAATAATCATCTCCATCGAGTTTAGGATAGGGGCAAGGGTTACAAGATTATGAAAAAAAAAAACGAAAGTAAATCGAATTTCCTTTAATAGTTTCATCGTTATCAGCTACAGAACCGAACCACATAACAAATGTCAACCGTAGCACTTTGCATTAGCTTATATTTATTTATTTATTTATTAATAATTAAGCTTTATTCACTAATTTATACAAACTTTAGAATTCATGACTGTACTGCATATAAAATTATTGCGGTGCAGCAAGCATGGTTGGAAAATAGACCTTATTTAAATACGAATTAAGATTATATTTTGCATGTAATGGAAGTCGGTTAGTGAATTGTACAGTCAGATTAAAAAATAAGTGATCGATTTGTAAAGATTTCATTTTTTTTTGTATTTTTTTGGCGTAATTTAGTTTACAATAGAGCAAAGAGTTTTTATTTAGACTTCCATTACAAGTCCAGTCCCAATTTCGAGACCCAGTCCTAGAAATAGTATTGAAAATAATTTAATTACAAATAACTTAAGTAATGTACTTACTTACAATTATCTATGGAAGCGCCTTTGTAATAAATCGATGGCCTTATCATTAATGTGTAATAATTTAAGGTTACCACACCGCAACTTACTGTGAAGGCCTTTTCACATGTTCCGGTTGTCGGGTACCCAGCAGCGTAGTGTATGGCCACGTACCGGCGTATATGGCGCAGTGTATTTGTATACATACACTGCGCCGGCGGGTACCTGGCACTGGCTATCGGACAACCAGAACGCGCGAAAAGACATTAATACTATAAAACAAAAATAATTTTAAACTCCAAGGACTGTTTTAATTTAAAGACCCATATAAAAATTACTGTAAATATAATTCCGCTTCAATCTATTAGTAATAATCAGAACTTATATAGCACGGTGGCCAGGTCAATCTATCCTTTTCTGTGTTTCTCTATCACATCTTCAACTTTATTGTATTGACATAAAGTCTAAATTGCAATGAATAAAGACAGATTGGAGTAGGCTGATCCACTGGCCACTGTACTTTTGTTATAGTGTTTTCCTAAACAGGGTGTAAACGGAACGGTCCCAAAAATCGCCGACTGGTGATTATCAAGAAAAATTTTATTTTTTTAAAAGTAGTAATTTACATAACATCACGCCTTTTATCCCCGAAGGGGTTACAATGTTGGTTTCAAATTTCTGTTGTTAGTTTTCACCAATATACCTAATATTCATTTATTTATCTTACAAGTTGTTTATTGAAATGTCTATTTTATTAAAGAAACAGTCCCAAAAGCGTTGAGTATGTATTTGACACACATATTGATAAGAGAATTAAAAAAGTAGGTACAGCAATGTACAGACAGATTAAAAATATTTTTTTTTGACTAGGACCTTATTTGACAGAAAATGTTTTTTTTTTGCATCCATAAAAAAGATGTTTGTCATTAATTAGGTATCTATTTTTGTTACTCTTCTTTGGCAACTGAGTCTCCAATTTGATGAAGCAATCTATTTGTTTAATACGTCATATTACAAAATGAATGTCAATATGTGTGTCATAATAAGTATGTATTAAAATGAATGAAACATTTTATTTGCAATTGATATTTAGTTTAATAAATGAAACGGCAGGCAAAGGCACTTATATAATGTGTAATAATAATTAATATTTAACTGTCAAAACCACTTTTATACACTAGAAACTGCGAAACAAATACAGTCACATGATCTATCATAAATATTTAAACTACGAATTTCTTAATTCCCTAATAATTTCAATAAAAACTAATAAAACGAAAAAAAAACAAAATAAAAATAAAACTAAGTTTTTATTAACATTTGAACGAGATTTTACAATATTATCAATTTTAACAGAAAAGAGTTTGCACAATAACAAGCGCAATATCAAATAAATATAATATGCCAAGGATTTAAGTACATTAAACAATACTAAAGAGTGATTTTACTTAAAAATGTAAATAATAATAACATCCCAATTTTAAGGTACAGTCAACTTCATAAATATGTTACTTGTGACAATATTGTTCAAGAAATATTTAAATAATAAAAAAAAATCAATTTAGTACACATTTGAGATACTAAAAAATTAAAAACATTGTTATATTTAAAATCAGCACCGGATCGACATAATCTGATTATAGCACCTGAAAGTAACACAGTTACAAAGTTATCTGTATCTGTATACACATTCAACAATTAAGCGTGCAAAAAAAAAAAGAAAACATGTGTAAAAAACAAATAAAAAAAGAAATAAGGTCAACTAACCAAGGAGGATTAATGTAATGCGAAATTACTTAGTGACCATCATGTTACCTAAGATGTGGTTCACTATTGAACATAGGCGTCCCCCAATGACTTGCAGATAATCCAGTTGGAAGCAACCTATATATGTATATCCAGCGCCTCTCTGCGACCCCAATTAGGTCTTTTGTTCCTTTATTCCTTTAACCACTTTCTACTGATGATAAATGATGCATCACTAAGAAATCCCGTCGAAACCGTCATAACATGTTTTTTAATTGTACTTTAAAAAGTATTTTTAAACACTTATCTAGCCCCTCTATACATAAATTCACTAGCCACGATTTTATAATTAAAAATTGTTAGTTCTTTATAATTACAAACTATGTATTAACGATTTTTCAAAAATATTTCAAGTAGGTAGTATTTGGAGTCGTTAGTTCCATTGCAAGAATAAAAATGGCGCCTAAACAATTTGGGACAGCGCCATCTCTTATCAGCAATGGAAATAAGTTATTCCCGATTCCTTACCGAAAAAGTTCAACATCAATGTCTCATAGAAATATGAAATTATGATGAAAATCTTCGATTTCACGTTGTTAGAACAATTTATGCTAATGCTAAATAATTCAGTACTTTCTCGGTACTGGCTTTTAATGGCCCATCCAGCTCATTAGTGACCTTTCATTTGATACTTTTACAATAACTAATACGTAACAATATCAAACGAAGGTACAGCTTGCTTATTAAAAATTCAAAGCAATTTTGCACTATACAGTCATATTTTTGACACGCACTGTACATTTGTAGTTGTACAAGAAAATACTGATCACAGCTATTTTAGATCAAAATTGAGTAATACAGGGTTTAATATTTAATTTTAAAACCTAACTGCCTTATACGGAATCCAATAATACTTGGGCAGAGGGCAGGATAGGTGAAAACGTTTTTTTGAATTATCTGTGAAATACGACGCCTGTTATAAAAAAAAAACAATCTAATTTGATCTTTATTACAAACAAAAGATAGATTTCATTTAATATTTATACAAAGCTTTCCATTATTTTTAGGTTAGTTCAAGCTAAGCTAAAATAACTTCATTTTAAAACGAAAATTATACGGATAAAATGGCAAGGGTCAATTGTTATGTTAAATTTAAATAGTAACATTTAGATATAACAATAATATTTATACACAAAACCATTAGTTATTGTCATTTTTGTTATTTTATATTTCGTAAAAATGGTTTAGAGTGTCATTTGCAGTTCATAGAGTCGACCTTCCAAAATCATCAACCACAATTTTGTCATGTTACAAAGTACAGTTAAGTTCAAAAATATGTGACCACGGAGAAACTCACTCGTAAGTTCATATTTGCTTATGAAAACACTTTAAACCATTTCCATTAATTGATTAGATAACTCTGTGACCTGTTTACTGTTACAATTAATTCATATACAACCAATACACCCGTAGTGGTAACTAAAATATTTCATAAAATAATAAAGAACACCTTTATGCCATAGCACATATTCCTAAAACCTGGAAAAAGACACCGGGCCACTAACAATAAACCTTATTATTACGCGACAGGCTCGATTGAAGAGTTTTTCTTATGACACAAAGGCATTTTTAAATAATAAAATCAAAATTAAAGGCGTTTTGATACTAGGCTTTCTCAAGTAAATAAGTATTTTTGACTTCACAGACCTAAAGGCCCGAATTTTAGTACACGCTCGAGCCCTCATACTCGGCAGTAGTATGAGTACTCGTGTTCGACATATTCTTTACTTAGATAACGGTAAAAATAATTATTTACTAAAAGAAACCCTATTACCAAGCAGTTAAGTTTATTTTATGTACAAGTATCATCTATTTCTAGCCCACGACACCGATAGCTCACGTAGATTTACAAGAAGCGGTCTATTACAAGTATTAATGTTATCTCGAAATTATGATGAATAAAATCACAGTGAAGTTACCACCTGGTTTACATTGACGAAATGATTTATTATTATTATTATGGCTTCATACATCACTCATACTATTAATTTTAAGGCTTAGAACGAGTTTGTTTTATGTTTAAATGAAATTGTTCCGAGACCACGTTCGGCACCCTGATTGGTCGGCTCCAGTGAAACAGCCAATCAGAGCGCGCGAACACGGTCTCGTTCTGATTACCTTAATCGTAGAATAAAATCGTACTAAGCCTTTTGTATTCTTTACAGGCTACATTTTGCACGCATTTCTGTGATTGTAGATATTAACATGTTTCATGGCCGCATTGCAGAGGTCAATAATAATAAGTTTATCGTCTGTCACTATGGCTCTGATGCGAAAAATATAAATAGCACGAAAATGTATTGTAATAAAGTTAAATCAAAACAAATCGTAATTAATAGACACAACTGAGCCAGGTGTGAAACTAGTTTCATCAAATTCATTTCTCACGAAATTTGCGTAAAATTATAGCAATTATATTTGCATTTCTGTTTTTATTTACATAATTCACATAATATAACATAACATCACGCCTTTTATCTCCAAAGGGGCAGGCAGAGGTGCACACAGAAGTAACACCCACTATTCACTATTTATGTTATGAGTCCCATGTAATAGGGGGTGAGCCTATTGCCATAATTACCGGGTACATTTCCAGACTCCGTGCTACTACTGAGATTTTTTTAAAAACACAGTACTACTTTGCCCGACCCGGGAATCGCACCTGAGACCGCTTACCCGGCAGTCGCACTTGCGACCACTCGGCCAACGAGGCAAATATTTACATAATTCATTTTAGTTAAACCTAACAAATACTTTTGAGAGATTTAAATAAATTAGAAATGAGAAAAGTCTATAAAATTATAATACGATTAACATTTCGAAATAAATAGCGGCGATAAATAAAAAATACCTGTTTTTCTGACCCAGCTGGCAACTCCACTGTGATGTAAAAAATTAAATTGAAAATAAATTAGTGGTATTGTCTTTTATATTTTCTCCAACCCGTAATGAACTAGCAACCACTGGCTTTTAGATATATTTCTTTTATATTCACAATCTCTTTAATGTTTTTCCCTAGCCTATTATGACCACCTTCATGCTATCTAATTATAATTGACGAGAAGTTGAGAAATACTACGAAAAAAAGTTTCAAACGATATTTTTCCTATAGGAAAATAAATAATTAATTTTGTGACTTTCAAAACGAATTAATTTAGGAAAATAATGCCAAAATAAATAACATAACATAACATCACGCCTTTAATCACCGGAGGTGAGAGAGAATCTCATCGCAGAGGTGTACATTACGGCAGTTAATGCCACTGTACAATGTAACACCCTGTTTTTGTTACGAGTCCCACGTTCTAAGGGTTGATCCTATTGCCATATACCGGGACGATTCCAGACTCTGTGACTAAGATTTTTGTAAAAACTCAGTAGGTACCCAAAATAAATACGAAAATAAAATGTTAATAATAACAGTAACAAAAGATACAACGTTTTTAAACAAAATAAACTTCTTTTCTTTCTAATGGAAACTTCTCACAGCCGAAAGTATTAATTTTAAACTGTTGATTACATTTTTATCAAATACTTTTACGTTGAACAGGCTCAGCAGCTGTAGCCAAATGCCATTTAGCGCTTGTCTACATGTAGAATAGAAAACCAAATTATATGGGATTGACGTAAATTTTGACACTTGTCAGTTTCATCCCTATACATTTTGATTTCTACTCTCTCTGTAGACAAGCGCTAAAGTGGCGTTTGGCTAAAGGCCCAGAACATCAAATTAACGATAGTCTACTTTTAATTGAAATACGAAGAGCCATACAACTGTTCTAAGCTTGTTACAATATTGAAGTAAAAAATAGCATAGCAATTTTTAAAGTTATTAACTGCTCAAGAAAAGGTGTCTTCAACAAATATGGAGTGAGATATTGATCGTATTTATACATTGCTTCCCTATATTTTTGTCCTATGTGACATATCGTAGACACAAAACCCATGAGGCCATGATATATGATGTAACGTTACGTAAATATTTCACAAAGGTGTCAAGTAAAGTCTCAATAAGAAATGTTGGTGGCGAGCTAATATTATAATTCCGAAATATCAAGAATATTGGCGACCATTGTCACTTTTTTACCACTATTTAACCTCATGATAAGCGATTATACGGCCGTCTCAACCCGACCCATCATCATCATCATCATCATCATCATCATCATCAGCCATTAAATGCCCACTGCTGAGCAAAGCCACTTCTCATTCAACATATTCACTCGTATTTTGAAGACACCCAGATCATAGACGTCTTCGAAAAAATAGATTTAATGAAGTTATCGCGCCACTAGAGGTGCTAGTGTAGCTTAAGGTCTAATTGCCCGAAAGAATATTTGATAAAGTCAAATTAATATAGTTGAGCACAAACGTGCAAAGTATCATAAATATTTTTTATCTGATCTCTTGCTCACACTTATACGAGTTATGCGGCATTGTCACATTGCTGACACGTGACAGTTCGCACATTTGTAATCGCCCAACTACATTTAACTTGGAACAGTACAGCTGATTGGACTAATAGGATCCTGCGATACTAGCGCCCTCTTATGAGCGCAAAAAAGAAAATCTTCGATGACAATTGAGACTTCACATTGAGACATTGTCAGGGCCCTGTGATCAACAATATGTCAAATAGTACAAATATTTTTTTGTTCGGACCCTATACCTATCACGACTGCCTACTTGCACCAGTAAACATATATATACGTAAATACATATAATGTACAATAGACCAGTCTGCACTACCAGTAACAATTATTTCCACTTCATAAAAATAATTTTTCATCTCGACAACATTGTATAATTAAAATATACTGTCAATCCTATACATACAGGTTTATTTGTACTATTATTATTAAAAGTGCATTAGTAGGAATTATCGATGTCAGTTTCAAGTAAAATATTGCAAAGAAATCGTGTGATATACGGATGGTGAGATACTGAACTTATCTGAACAGATCTCCCTATACCACTAAACAAATGATATAGAAGCTAGACGAACAAGAGAATAGACGAGATTGACATTAGTTGACATAAGTTGGATTAGTTTGACATGGTTAATTGAATGTCAATGTCAATACCATTCTTTGAGTTTTCTGTTCAATTTAGTCGACTAACCTCTAAATGTCATTTGTCTAGTGGCACTGAAAAGATAACTATAGCGTTCTGCTAAACTAGGCAACCAGACGGTTACATTTCAAGCTTCCTCAAACCGTCCAATACATTTTGAACTTAACGGGATTGTAACAAAGTTGAAAATAAATCGACAGTTTAGGGTAGCTTGTTGTGCCTATGTTAAGACATAGTCTACTGAACAGATAAGTCCGTAATAAAAGTAGAAAAAACATGAGAAACCCTTGTAAATATAACTTCAATAGATTACAGGTACAAATTGAATATCTTAATACATCCGAACTTTTCTATCCTTACAAATAATTCTACTAACCAACTTTGTCACATGTTGGCCGTATAAACGAGAAAATTATGCGAGATCTATGACGTACAAAATTTAGTCTGTGGTGTTTGAGATCTGTCAAAATCAAATGACGTTTGGGTTGACACGTCACTATGACTACAGTTCATATCGTATTATTTAGTAAGAATTTGTACAGTATTTTTGTCTCAATACCATTTCCCACATTATTTTCTCGATTATCAACCCTCTACCGTACTAAACCCATAGTCAATAGTCTACGTATATGGTAAATATTTATCGATCTCTCATAAATTAATCGACCAATAACAGAAGGCTATTTTTCACAATATCCATAAGCCCGGCTCGTGATTGGCTGCCGTTGTACCCGTCAACTAATCACAGAGCTGAAATATATTGACAGCGTATTTATTGAACATCAGGCTTTTATACATTTGAAATAACAAACACATTTAAAGTTCATTTAATCGATTTTGACCCTTATTGCACAGACATACGGATGACATTTAAAGCAAATGAAAAATTGACTAACTTCTGCAGTTCTAATAAGTCTTATTACAAATGCAATAAAAGTTAAAATCGTACGAATGAACTGTAAATGTGATTGTTAAACATGATCCTAATGGTATACATGTAGGTATATTATTTAGCTTACAATAACGGATAAGTTACATTAATTAACCGCTAGATGGCTTTAAATAGAGAGAACACCATTTAATGTCAACCTTCATCATCAGCCGCCCATGATGGTCCACTGCTGGATTATAGGACTCTTCAACACAAGAAGGGATTGCCATAATATCCACGCTTATAATTAAGAACAATAATTAATTTAAACTGACAGGACTTAACTCGCTAGAAGCGCCACCTAACCTGCGCAAAAATGACAACTTTTGCATTTAATACTTTTGAAATTGATATACTAAATAATATACCTACTTATAACGCTTCAAAGATGGCGTCTAAACAAGATAGATAAAGAAGCTAATATTCAGAAATATTATTCATGTTATTTATGACTATGAATAATGATTATCGCATATTCTACGTTGAGTTTGTTGATTGTGAAAAGAAACTTGCGAGTAAAACATTATTCAAAATCATTAAAACACTGTCTTCAATGTTTATATTTATTTTATAGTCATTAATTCATTATTACTGTAGTCTGTCTTCATTTCAATTCATTATTATTACTATAAAATAGTTGTATCTCAAAGGGACAATCAATTTTCAATTTAAATTGTCTATATCGAAGTAATGACTTTCCCATTTTGACAAAACATAACGTGTTTAGTATTTTTTCATTATCTTACTGACGGAGTTATCCATGTTTAGGTACTTTTTATATCTGAACTATAAAATAACTACAAACATGACTATAACATCTTAAAAGCCACTTACCTATCAGTATTTAGCCGCCATCTCAGTCAAGATATAGCCTGTACAGCACAGCCTAACTAGTCGTCACAATAACAAGGGATATTTTATTAATTAAAGTCTATAATAAAACTCTAATTTATCGCTAAGCGGGAAGCGAGACACAACCATCTAGCAGAGCCATTCGCACTGCGGTTTACGCTGGAAAAGAGAAAATATTATTTTAATACATAAATATGCCTATTATTATGCGAAGGGGTACGAAGAAGTGCATTTAGTAAGTGTAACATTTACTTTTCGGCAGAGATTCCGGCAATGCCATAAAATTAGGTAAACGGGGACTTGATGCTCTATTTTAAAAATTTAATTCCTTAGGGCCCATTTTTCCAACGCTAGTTCAATTTTATCAGAGGAATAAGTTTCAATATTCTCCTATAGTAAAAACTGTCAACTCTGTCAATTTTATTCTATAGGTAATATATAGGTATACTAGAAAGATGGGAGCAGTTGTTTTTACTATACAATTTCATTTTAAATATTGAATAACTTAAAAGTATTTGAGTTATTCAAGTGAGACTTTGTAACTTTTATGTATTTTACTAGTTAAGAATGAACTGTTTATTGAAATATCGGCCCTTAGTCATTTATGTATTTGTTCATTGGGGAATCTAAGCCAAAGAGGTTAGCAGTGCCGTTTGAGATCACAGTTCAAACTACTGATTTCAATAAAATTTTTAGGAATATCATTTTTTGTTTTACCTACAAAACGAAATGTATTACTTGAGAATATTGCCCCATTACTAGAGAAGAATGTTGAATTTAATTCATCTCTAGAATTTTTTGTTTTTTTTTTCTTATCGAAGGTACGATATGATGTACCAAATACGTACGAGTATGAGTAGGCGCGGTCACCATATCGCAGGCGCAACGTCGTCTGGGAACCCTGCCTCGCGCGCCTTCCAGTACTCCCCGTTGAACACCCACGTCTCCTCGCCGCTCTCCAGAGTTTTTCTGTCATTGAGAATACATACATAAACTATGTGTACTAACAATTTTGTTAAGGGTTATGTAGGATGTTTAGATGATGTTTATCAATGCTGGTAGAGTGTGTTAAATTTATGGTGGCGAGGGACTCATTGATGCAACATCCATACCTAACTTCACTCCTGTCTCCCATGGGGGTAGGCAGAGACTATGGAACGCCAAATACTACGATTCCTACATACTTCTATCGCTTCATCAACAGTCATCAATCTTTTCATGCATGCTCGTCGACTGGTGCAATATTTTCGTCAGATAAACAGTACTCAGATGCCAAATCGATATTTGTACCGTAGTTTTACAATCGATGCTATTATTGAGAATTTATAATAAAAAAAAAACATGTTTTTAGTCCGCAAATAGAACGAAACACGGCAATTTTGCCAACTAACCACTTGTACTGGATTTGAACTGCAAAATGTATGTCTATCGTTACGGAGCGTCTAATACTTGTGTGGCTCTTTTCTTACCACTTTTAAAGAATAGATCTTTAGAGTAAAATCAAATAGAAAATGTCAAACTTATATTTAAATATCGTTAATGTGCAAAAGTGATGTTTCTATGAACATGGTATGTTTTTATAATAACTAATTATAATACGACGAGGCCGCGACTGCGCACGCTGCTCATGAGGAAGAACCCTTTTGTGGTTCGAAACTAGTAGAGCTTTTCTCAGTATATTCACGTGAGTAACCCGCGATTTTAGTTAACATGGTATGTACTATAGTAGTATGACGTAGTACGCACCGGAACCAGGCGGGCGCGTGCGCGGCGACGTCCCTGCGCCGGTCGCGCTGCGCCTGCTCCAGCTGGTGCTTCAGCTGCTCCGCCGCCTCCACGTCGCCCTCCTCCAGGGCGCGCTGGTCCGGCCTGGGAGACCACACGGTACATACTTCAGACAAGTAATACATAGGTTACACAATAAGTGCAGCTAGTGTTGTGCGACCAACTGATATGATTATGGGGTCGCGGCATGGCTCGACCCCATAATCATATCAGTTGGTTGCACAACACTAGCTCCATACTATAACCTCGTCGATAAGTTACGTAGCTCGTTACAAATTAAGTATGAAGTTCGTGTTAATGCGGCGAGTGCCAGTTGCTACGGCACTCATAATTATGGGCTCCAGGCATAGTTTGAAATTAGACGTAACCTCGTCGAGTAGTTACGTAAGTCGTGCAACCTTATTAATTAAATACTGTACAGTCCCACAGTCGGGTAAAAACAATATTCTATTAATCGTTGCTATGTCACTTTTCAGCAGTGTCCATCAGATAATGACGATCCTTTTAACTTATTTATAAACGAATGTAACACTGTACCTGTGACTGCCTCGTTGGCAGAGTAGTAGCAAGTGCGACTGCCG